CAAAGAATTAACCTCACGTTGCCTCGGCACAACCAGCCGAAAACATGGTAGTAAATCCGTTGCTTCCAAATAACACTGACAGCATGGTACTCTGGTCCTGTCGTACCCGAATGCTCCCTGATGCGAGTGCTCCTTGTGCCTGCACTACGAGTAAACCCCGTCAGAGCTGACCATCTAGCGGAATAATCAGCACAAGGTGTAACCTCGATTTCCTCCCCCAGCAACAACGTTTTTTCGTCTAATGAAACCTGAGCAGTCGTCCTTAACAACCGATTCGCTTCATAGAATATTACGACTAGTGAAAAATAGTAAACACTGACTCATTCATTCCTCTTTCAATTATAAAACCGCACCTCTGTGCTTTGCCCACCTCCGGTCACTGACCAACCAACAGGAGAAGTCCTGAAGAATCTAACTTTGAGAAATCATACCGGCAACACCAAAGAAAAGAGTACTCTAGAAATTGGACTGAATTGAAATCGCGAACCACAAGTAATGCAATATTCCTGTGAGAATGCTTTCGGCATGGAGGAAATGCGTTAATAATGCATGAGGCTGTCACATAAAAAATATTAGAAAAACGAAGACCATATTTTAATTTATTAGAAAGAAAGGGAACAAGTCTATTAGAGGACAGATAAATTCAATAATTTATGAAAAACAGATACGTTCCCCCAGCAAATCTCTTTACCCCTTATCCGGTCTGCTTTCGCTAGGGAGGCGCCATAGATGTAAATCGACGCTCCTTCGGTGTTCTCTGGCTTCTGCCTCTAATGATGACTACGTTGTTTGACTACAGAATCATCCCATTGTTTTCTTGGATGATCGAGTGGGCATTTGTGGATCAATAAATCCAAGCTTGAAATTCTTGACGTCTACCGGTTGTTTCTCACGCGAGCACACAGTTGGACTATGTTCTCTTGGCGTGGTAGAGGGCAGAAATTAGCCTATAAATCCATGGTCGAATTTACGCACATGGAAGGGGGTCCCCAAAAGACACCGTGCACATTTTTCACTCCACCCCTCTTTGCATGGCCATCAGTTTTCCTCCTCAGCTTCAGCAGCAGACAAACGTTCAGCAACTTTAGTCATGGAGGGTTGAATCGAACCATAATTTCTTTGTCCAAATGAGCAGCTCACTTTCACATAGCCATATTTAAATACGTTTAAAACTGGTTCACGCCACAGCATTCATTCTTCAGTTAATTCAGCAAACCAAAGCAGATGTTATTTTTAAAGTAATTACTGTTAGAAAGTCAGACAGTTATTATTGAGAAGCTGTTCCTTACATTAGCCAGCTGGCATTCAAACCTAAGAACTTCGTTCATTTCCTTCAGGGCCACCTTTCTATCCAGTCCAAGTAAAATCATGGATTTCACCATAAGATCCAAATACCGTCGGCGTTCCCGTTCGTACTGAGGCAATTGATAAAGCTCTTTGATGATTAACTTCAAGCTCGTTTGGTCCATCTGAGACACAGCGTCATTATTTCAAAAGAATTCAAAAATATATAAACTACTTACTTGAAATATGTACAATGAGGAATTGACTTCATCTGGGCCAACGGCCAGTTTGAATAGCGAATCTTGAGTATAGTTTACAACTGCATATCCGTACAGCGTCCCCAGCGACAGTCCAGTATCATTGGACAAATCCAAGAGCGGCCAGCCGCCGAGCCTGCGTATCGTCTCATTGAACACTCGCTTCCAGCTGTAGAATATGGCCGATTCGTTCTTACACATTGCGTATAGCCGCTTTGAGTAGGCTATGACTTTGCTTTCCTTAGGATCGACTGGCTCTTCTAGCAGCTCTAGTTCACAAAGTTACGAAAATTCAAATGAACAGAAGGTTCGAAACGGGACCACCGTTTCTCTTACCCTTTAAAACATGGTCTATCTTCGTTGCCGGTTCATCAAAGTTAGAAATCGCCATCAAATGGTCGGGAATCGGATGGTTTTTAACCCAGTTGCCACATGCAAATTCATAAAAGTCATCGCACGGATCCACAGAATTGTCGAGCGAGGTCAGAAGATCAGCCGCAGCTTTTATACAACCTGTAGTCATACACAGATCAATGGAATCTAAACGAAGACACTATTTGTATGGCTGAATGTTCCAAACATCAAAAATTAACGACGTTTTTAAATGGAAGAGTGAATTATAACAATTAATTAATTGATTATTCAGTAAATGAATGAATAAAATCGATTATTAAACACATTGTATAATTTCTAAACTTCATTTACATTAGGAATTCGTGAATTTAAGTGTCTGATTCAATGGATTAGTGCGCCAACCTATGGCCAATGTCACGAAACGTACATTGCGCAGTTGAGGATGCTTCATCCACACAAAAGCGGCCTTCCTCAGCGGAATTTGAACCCATTGTATTTCATCTGATTTGCCAGGACGAAAAATGCATACTTAATGACGCTACCTGCATCATGCCGAATTTGGACTAGACTCCGAGTAGATTTGGCTGTCACTTGCAGCTACTCATGTAGTGGGCAAAAAAACCTTACTGAGCAACTACTTTTGTACGGTCGAAAAAGAGCAACACAACCAAAAAGTAGTTTTGATTACCCTGACG